CTGCCTAGGGTCCTAGACCCCGGATCCCTGCCTCCGTCCGCTCGCTCGGGTTTCTTTCCGCACTTTTATATCTCTGCTCCCACCGGGGTGCTAGCGAGGGCCTCTACCTATTGGACAGCGCAGCTTCTCTTGCGGCGACAGTGACGCGCCGGGGCTCACAAGAGCGCGCCTGCCGTTCCCACGCCCAGCCCACTCCCACTCCAGCATCGAGCTCGGGTGGTGCCGCACCAGCAGCAGCACACATTCTCTATGTTTCTGCTGAGCCTCTGGTTAAAGGAAGCAGAAGCACCTAAGGAGATGAGTTGGAATTAAGTGGTGCCAACTGCAAGCCTGGGTAGGGCTGAGTCTCCTCCTTCAGTGACAGGGATCAGTTCTGTTTGTTTCCGCCTCAGCTGCAAGTTTGGCAGTTTCAGTACTGAGGTGGATAAAGGCATCCTGGTGGATCCCGGAACAAAGCAAGCAATGAAATAGAGACATCCGAGTTACTTCCCTTTGACCTCCCCCAGCAACGCAACTGGGAGATTTGTTTTGTAAGGAAACTCTTTAGGCCCAACCGCATGCGCCAGGATTGATGTATCAGAGGATATGAGGAGGTTCGCTTTGTGCCCCCTTAGGGGAACAGTTGAGTTTTCTGCCTAGAGAGGTTTAAAGTTGTACCTGTAAGAGGTATTATGAGCCATGATGCTTTTCAGTCCCCCACCTATCTCCCCAGGAAATCTTACCGGTTTCCACTGTTACTGTGAAGTCTCTCTCAGTCAGCCTTCCCCTGCCATCCACCTGCTTGAACTTGTCATTAAGACTGTATTCTGGAATCAGGGTCTAAACCCAGCTTTGTTGCTGTGAGATCTTGGACAAGTTGTGGCAGTGAATAATTGCTTTCCTTTTCCTGTATGCGAGGTATTTAGAGACCCCTGTATAGATCTCCCACCATAGCACTGTCTGGAGCAAGAGATGCAATAATTTGCTGACTACTGGTAGCTACACCCTTAACTCCTCATTCTAAGGACTCTTTCTGGTGTCTCATTTCTCCTTGCTGAGCAGTGCCTTTGGGCTACTCCCCAATTAAGAACTCAAGCCCAGATTCTTTCCATGCTGTCCCCTTAGTCCCAGGGAAAAGCCTGCTCCTGTGCCACCCAAACCCTGAAGGACAGACCCCTCCCACCAAAGCCCTCTTTTCTCTCTCAGCCTCAAGTGGAAGCTCCAGACATTTCTCAGTTTGGGATATTTCTAGAAGAATTAGACATCAGTTTCTGTATCCCCTTGAACTTCAAGTACATAGGCCGAACTTGTGGATAAACAAATAGAAAGTGGGCTGATAAGTGCCACCATAGCAAAGTACAAGGTACACTATCCAGTTTGGAGGGTCGGGGAAGTCTTATCAGAGTGACACCTCGACTCAGTCTTGGCAGACCAGCAGAAGACAGTTCATGGAGGAGGAGAAGGAGGAAGAGCAGGAGAAGGAGGAGGAGGAGAACGAAAAGAGGGGCAGACTATGGAGAACTCCATATTCTATTCTCAGACATACAGGTAAGCAGGGTGTTATGCAAGGAAGTGAGTGGAGAGAGAGCTGGAGAGGGATATAGGGTCCTGAAAATGAGGGCCTCATAGGTCATGCCAACAATCTGAACAAGTTCCTGGGGGCAGCAGGAATGCATAGAAGGGTAAGAAGAGACTGACATGGTTAGGTTTGCATTTTAGAAAGAACATTCCAGCACGTGAGTCGAGAATGGAGAGAATATGCCTTGAACAAGACTGAAGGCTGTTCAAGCGATTGAAGAGTAGAAGTGAGACCTGAGTCAAGGTGCTGGCAGGAGGAGCAGCAAGGGTGTCAGAGATTTGAGGGTGGAATCAAAGATGATTATGAAATTTTCAGTTTGGTTGATGTCAAACACAAAAATTTGAAAGATCTTTTGATCTCAATTCCTCCTAGAACATTTAGCCTTTCCCCATTATTTTATCTGGAAGTTCCAAGAAATCCACTCTTATCTCTACTTGTTGACATCATATTCACTCTTCTAGCCACTGTATTAGGAGAAAGTAGTGAGTAGATGATCCTCAGTTCTGCTAATGGGCTAGACAGATCCTACAGGATTGTGTGATTAGAATAGCAGATTATGTGGTTTACCCCAGAAGAAGGCAAATGGAATAAAAAGTATTTGGTTACAGGAAGTAAATCAAGTGACTGGCTGTAAATGTGTAATTCAGTCACTCAAGTAGACTTGTTCCATCAAGATGATTTGGTACCATTTCATAAAGGCAAGGGTGGAACAGGATGACAATTTAGAAAGTAGAATCCTCATCAATAGAATTTTGCCCAGGGTCAAGAAAAGTCTTACAAGTAGAAGAGTCCCAGTGAGCATCAAGTGCAGAAAAAGACCAAAGGTTGGCAGCACCTTTCCAGACAGTCTCTTCCAGACTGCATAGGCATATTATTAATCTAATAATCACTTAACCAGTGACTTCGCTTTGATTTCTTACTCATCCTGCCCGCCCTGGAGATGGGACAACATTTATGCCCAGTGCCTGAGGCTTTCTCTCTGAAAGAGGAGGCGAGGTATTTTAGTTCTCACCTTTTCTCTGAAGCATATCCTAGGACAGATTCTGGAGCATGAGTTTACTTAGGAAGTGAAGGAAAATACCAATAAGGAAATGAAGTGAGGAGGGAAAGTGGCCAATGAAGAGTATGTTTTCAAGCCAGCTGCCACTGTGCGTGACTGCAGCTTCACTCCACTTGTAACGCCAGCATCAAGTATGGACATCTGTTCTCCAAGGCACTGGGTGAGGAAGCTGGGACATCTACATAGGGACTCCTATTAGGAATTGGCTGAAGGCTTCTCCCAGAACACATTAATTCTCTTGAGCTTCTGGCCTTCCAACAGGCACTCAAAATAAACACAAGAGGCAGAAGGTGGCCCACGGGCAAGTCAATTCTGGTGCTGGCAGCTGAATATTGAAATAGTGTGCTCTACAGAGGTACTGAGGATATCCAAGAGAGACATGAAGCCTAGAATCACTTCCTTTCCTCTTTCCTAGGCATTCAGCTCTGCACTCATGCTAGGCCTCCTGCACCCTCCTGTATCCCCAGCCCAGCACTGAAGCCCAAGCTTATCCTGAACTTCTGGGGTAACTCATTCTTCGATGAAGCAAGACTAGCCATTCACCTTATGCCACACTAAGGCTAGGTTATTAGAAATTATTTCCTCAAGAGGCTGTATATTATCATCACTAAAGAATTATGGGAGGGCTGGGGATTTAGCTCAGTGGTTCTGCTGCCTGCCTCAAAAGTGCAAGGACCAGAGTTTGATCCCTGGTACCAAAAAAAAAAAAAAAAAAAAGAATTATGGGAAGACATAACTACTGCTAAAAATGAACTTTCATACATTCTGGATAAGACCAAGGACACTGTATAGTTAGTGTGTGCTGAATAGTAATTAATTTCCACATTTCCACAAACAGACATATTAAACATACCAAAGTACAGAGTATACTGTTCATTTTCTTAGATTTTTTTTTCTTTGTATAGGGATCAAACTCAGGACCTTAAGCTTGAGAGGCAGGTGGCAGAACCACTGAGTTAAATCCCTGGCCTTTTTTTGTTTTTTGTTTTTTTGGAGACAAGGTCTCACTATTTAGCCCAAACTGACCTCAAACTTGTGGCAATCCTCCTACCTCAGCCTCCTGAGTACTGAGATTATACAACTGTACCACCATGCCTGGCTTCTTAGTCTGGCTTCTTTCATTTAATAAAATAGCTCCATCCATTTTCCTGCAAATACAAGATTTCATTCTTTATGGCTGAAATACATATATAATCTACACTACACACACACACACACACACACACACACACACACACACGTCACATTTTCTTTATCCATTTGTTTGTTGGTAGACACCTAAGCTTTTTCTATAGCTTAGTCATTGTGAACTGTGTTGCAATAAACATGAGTATATAGGTATTTCCATAGTATGCTGCTGACTTTTGGGGGGTACTTGACTGATGTATAGTGTAGCTGGATCAAATGGAAGCTCTGCTTTATTTTTTGAGGAATCTCCCTACTACTTCCCACAATGGCTATATTAATTTATATTCCCACTAACAGTATCTGAGGGTACACCACCTCCCCCTCACCAGTATTAGTTTTGGGTTTGTTGGTTTGGTTTGGTTTGGTTTTTTGAGACAAGGTACCACTATGTTGTTTAGGCTGGCCTTGAACTCACTATGCAGCCCAAGCTGGCCTTGAAATTGTGCAATTCTCCTGTCTCAGCCTCCCATGTGTTAGGCTTACAGGCAGGTGCTACCACAACTGGTTCTGGTTTTTGTATTTTTGATGATAGCCATTCAGACTGAGGTGAGAAGTAATTTCAGTATACTTTTAATTTGCATTTCCCTGATGGCTAAAGATGTTGAGTATTTTTGTCATTTTTTTCATATGTATTGGACTTTTTTATTTTTGTTGTTTGTTTTGTTTTTTAGCATTCACTATTCATTTGCCCACTTATTGGTTGAGCTATCTGCTTTTTTTTTTCTTTACTGGTGTTTTTGAGTTCTTTATATATTCTAGAAATTAATCCTCTATCAGAAGAGTAATTATCAAAGATCTCCCACTCTATAGGTTGTCTCTTTACTCTGTTATTTACTTTGCTGTGCAGAAGCTTTTCAATTCATTGATGCTTGGTATTTTGTTTTTCCATGGGTTCCTTCTCAGAAAGTCTGGCTTCAAGTATTTCCATTGTTTTCTTCTAGTCTTTTCAAAGTTTCCAATCTCATGTCTAGGTCTTTGATCCATTTTCATTTGATT